AGGGACACCGCGAGCAAACCCGCCGGGGCTGTGGCTTTGCTCCCGATGCCCCTGGTCTGCTGGAGACGGTCCCCAGCAGACCAGGGACACCGGGAGCAGCTTTTCTCGCCCCGGAGGTCGAGGTGGCTGACCGCTGCCTTCGAGCTCCGGGGCGAGAGAGCCCCGTTCGTAAGTGCGGATCCGCGTAAGTCGGGGACTGCCTCTAATATGCTTTAATATACTTTACCGCGTAAGTCGGGGACTGCCTGTAATATGCTTTAATATACTTTCATAGAGCCAACTGTACAAAGCTGAAAACAATTGAGCCAAATCAGCAGGAGAGAGAATTTAATCAGAAAAAAATGTGAATGATAATTGAGGATAGTTTAAAAACATCTTACTAAATGCCCCAAAAGCTACAATCCAACAACTGAGATGAAGGGCCACGTTGGTTAAAAAAAAAAAAAGTCTGAATAAGAGGGAAAGTGAATACAACTATAAAAAAAATTCTCTCTATATATTAAAAAAACTTTTCCTGCAGTATGACAGAATAAGGTCATCACGTAACTCTGCATCCTGCCTTGTTTTACCTTCTCTTAGGGCTGGGGAGGCTGCAGAGCTCTGGGGAAGGGGGAGACTGAAGCTGCAAACCACGTGGCTTTTCCCCCTCTGGTGTTCTGGGAGGGTTCATGAGCTGTGCAGCCTCTCCTCTTATCCCTTCCACTCTCTCCTATGCTGGGGGGGGCAAAGCTGAAAGCCATGTAGCCTCTCCTCTTCCCCCTCCTTCCCCCCAGTGCTCCAGGGGGGCATCTCCCTCTCCAAGGTCTCCCCCTCTCTGGTGATCCAGGGCGGTGGAAGTTGCACCCCTTCCCTGCACCCCAGTCCCCTCACATACCACTTAGGTTGGGGGGAGGGCTGGGCCAGCATCACACTGACCGGCCCCCTTCCCTGGCTGCCGAGGGGAGGAAAGAGCCAGGGCCTGTGAGTGAGGGGAGAAGGCAGTGGGGCAAGAGTACAGGCAGCCTCGGGGCTGGGGCAGGGAGGAAGAGCTGGGGCTGGTGGGTGGGGTGGCAAGGCACCAGAGCAGGGCAAGAGTCGGGGTGTCCTTGGGTAAGTGGGGGGGAGAGCCTCAGCCCAACCCCCCAGGGTCCAGGGAGAGAAAGCCATGCCAGCCTCAGCCCGGCCAACCCCCGGGAGCCAGGGCAGAGAGTCAGGGCAGCCCCCAGACCTGGGGCAAGCCGGGGCTGCCACATCTCAGCCTGGTCCTCCCTGGTGGTGGGAGCAGGTGCTGGGGCTGTCTACCCCCAGAGAGTGGGGTGGGCAAGCGTAGCAAGCAGGGGGGTACTGTCCCCTAGTGATATCTAACAAATGGAAGAAAGGAAACATTAACAGTGATGAAAATAAATTGAAAGTTAGGAATACAGTAACCTGGGGCAAGCCGGGGCTGCCACATCTCAGCCTGGTCCTCCCTGGTGGTGGGAGCAGGTGCTGGGGCTGTCTACCCCCAGAGAGTGGGGTGGGCAAGCGTAGCAAGCAGGGGGGTACTGTCCCCTAGTGATATCTAACAAATGGAAGAAAGGAAACATTAACAGTGATGAAAATAAATTGAAAGTTAGGAATACAGTAAAACTCCAATTGTCTGTCATCCAGTGGTCTGGCACTCCTGATAGTCCAGCACCAACTGGAACCCGGAAGTGCTCTGGCCAGCCAGACAACTGGAGCTGCTCCACGCCGCTTCCCCAAGTCTGCTGCTGCCGCTGCTGAAACTGACCAGCAGCAGACTTGGGGACGCTGCGGAGCAGAGCAGCTGGGGTGCTGCTGGGCGCCAAGCAGGGGGGTGAGGGGCAGCGCTGTGGGACCAACTC